AACTATCTGATCTTTGACAAACCTGACAAAAACAAGCAATGGGGAAAGGATTCCCTATTTAATAAATGGTTTTAGGAAAAATGGCTAGCCATATGCAGAAAACTGATACTGTATCCTTTCCTTATATCTTATACAAAAATTAACTCAAGATGGATTAAAGACTTAAACGTAAGACCTAAAACCATAAAAACCCTAGAAAGAGAACCTAGGCAATTTCTTTAATTAATGTTTTATATCTTTCTTTGTAGTGATCTTTCACTTTCTTTAGTCAAGTTTATTTTTAGGCATTTTATTTTATTTGTAACTATTGTAAACAGGAATAATTTCTTAGTTTCACTGCTGGCATATAGAAATGCTAGTTTTTTTAATGTTGATTTTATATTCTGCAACTTTAGTGAATTTATCAGTTCTAGTCACCTTTTGTTGGATTCTTTCAGTTTTTCTAAAGATAAGATCATATCATCTGAAAATAAGGATAATTTGTCCTTTTCCTTTCCAATACTCTTTACTTCTTTCTCTTGTTCAACTGCTTCAGCTAAAACTTCCAGCTGTATGCTGAATAACAGTGAGGAAAGTGGACATTATTGTAGGGTTCAAGATATTAGAGAAAAGGTTTTCAGTTTTTTCCTGTTTAGTATGATACTAGCTGTGGGTTTACTGAATATGTTTTTTATCGTGTTGAGGTATGTTCCTTTTATACCCATTTTTAAGAGTTTTTATTATAAAGTGATGTTGAATTTTATTATCAAATGCTTAATTGACATTGATTGAAATGATCATATGGTTTTGGTCTTTCATTCTGTTGATGTGATGTGTCACGTTTTTGATTTCTATATGTTGAACCATCCTTGTGTCATTTTGATAAATGCCACTTTATCATGATGAATGATCTTTTTAATGTGTTGCTGACTTCAGCTTGCTAATATTTTGTTGAGGATTTTTACAATTATGTTCATTAGAGATATTGACCTATAGTTTTCCTTTTTCTTGTGTATCTGCCTGGTTTCAGTATCAGGATAATACTGGTCTCAGAGAATTGGTTTGGAAGAATTCTTTTTCCATTGATTTTTTGGAATGGCTGGAATGGAAATGGTATTAGATATTTAAATGTTTGGTAGAATTCAGCAGTGAAGCCATCAGGTCCTGGGTTTTTCTTTGATGGAAGACTTTTTATTCCTACTTCTGTCTTACTTGTTATTAGTCTATTCGGGTTTTGAATTTCATTCTTGGTAGGGTGTACGGGACTTGTAAATTATTAATTTATTCTAGGTTTTCCAATTTATTGACGTATAATTGCTCATAACAGTCTCTAATGATCCTTTGAATAATTGTGGTAACAGCTGTAATGTCTCTATTTTCATCTCTGATTTTATATTTAGGTCTTCTCTCCTAAGATAACTTTGCCATAATAAGATGATGGCGCTTTATCTGAAAGCCACTAGTACAAATAATGACTCCACCCCATAATTTATGCCTTATACAAATGTTAACTCCATATTTATTTCTTTGAATTATAATTTATAAGGATATAATATTATACATAAATTAAGATAACAACACCTACTTTTGTACATTATATTTTTTGAAAGTAAATGATTTAAAAGTATTATTTCATTTAATTCTCACATTATTGGTTTTACAGAGAGGTGGTTACCTCTTCCCTGTCACAGGTTGGCTTCCCTAGGAAGCTGACTCTGAAACAGAGATTAGAATACAGGATGTTGATCAGGGAGTATTATGGGTATAAACACATGGAAAAAGAGGAAGCAAAAACGGACAACGAGAGAGTTGTAGTCTTGATGCAAGATACAGGTGGTCTTATGGGAAGTTCTAAAATTGACATGACCCTTTAGAATTGTCTCAAGTTGTAGGAGAAAGGCAGACTTCATTATATTTCCATGATGAGTCATTGGGTATGGGCTGCCTAAGGAAGGGGGCAAAACATTGGGCAAGGGGCATGTCTCCAACAAAGACATTTTCTGTAGCGGGCTGATAGCGGTGGCCTGCCTTAGGGAAGTGCTTATGGAAGTTGGGAAAACAAGCCCTTTATTTCTATAAGGGATCTGGGCAGCACGCTCTCTATGACAAACACTTGCCATTAATTCCTTTTATTAGCTCAGAGTTCAGTAGGTCAGAAGTCCAGCCACATTTCAACTGGGTTCTCTGGTCAAAGTCTCACAAGGCTGAAATCAAGGTGTCAGCCAGACTGGAGTCTCATTTGCAATGAGAGTTCTTTTTGCAAACTCATTTAAGTTGTTGGCATAATTTACTTCCTTGTAGTTTTAGGATTGAGACACTCATATCCTAACGATGATTCACCTTCACAGAAATTCAAAAAATAGCTATATGCTTTCTTGTTTTGAGGCATAGGGAGAAAGTCTCTCTGATTCTTTACATTTTAAAACTCTAGATCCCCATTTTATCCTCACCTGAGTAGAACAGATTCTCATTAGATAATTTCCAATCTGATTAACTTAACTGAATGTGGTACTTTAATTATATCTGCTAAAATCACTATTGCATGTAATAAAACAAAATGATGAGGTTGATAATGCATCATATTTACAGGCTTCACCCATACTCAAAAGCAATGCATTATACACAATGGGTTAAAAATCTCAAGGATTGTCTTGGAATTCTGCTTGCCATGGGCACACAGAAAACCTCAGTGACAAAGAGGCTGTTGGAGGTAGAGAGGTTGGTCTACTGTGTTCTGTCATGTAATAACTCTTAGATACAGGAAGGACCTTGTAATTAAACATGTGGCATCTGAGATTAACACAGAAATCCCTAACCAATAATTCAACTTGACAAGAACAGATTAGATATTTTTCCTGTGCTAAGTATAGATTAGAGTTGTGAAATGGAAGACAAGGGAAATTTAGAAAAATTTGGAGATTCAAAATGTTCAACCTTATTGCATATGCCACAGTATTTCCATCCTATTTCCTGGGATTATATTATTTCCCCAGCAATGGTTTCTTATTACTTTGAGACATAACTGAATTAAGTATCTAGTTGGCATTGCAACTGCAATTTTGAGAGTCCATTCCTGATATTGGTCCTCAGTTTATCCGCTCTGTCACTTTAGGAGGTAAGGGATTTGTTCAAAGTTACCACCAAGGCTTTCTCATTTTCGATTTATATTCTGAGTTGGAATTTCACAGTCTTTGCTTCCTCTTTTTCTTGTGTAAGCTCTGTAGGATATTTAGTAAAAGGTAATGTGTATACAATATTAATAATCACTATTGTTTTTCAACCCCTTATTATCCATGAAGTTTGTGGTTGCTTATTATGTTCCCAGTTACAGGCTGTTGCAGAACCAGCCACTGCCAGGGTCACTTCGGTTCTTGTGTTCAGCTCCAGTCACCCACACCAGTGACCCCCTTCTCTGAAGGTGAGCACCTTTTTGGAGTCATTGATATTATTTCTTACCAAGGGACCTGATCCAGCCCACTTCAATTCAACAGAAATATTTGTATAAGGGGAAAGATCAAGGTTGGTGTTCTGCTCCTCCCAAGAGAAATCCTAGTCCCTGTGTAAATTGCTCACTTCTTGCCACAGGGACAACTCCTTATATCAAGTGGTATTGCCATCTTTTCAGGCCACAGAAGATGCTTTTTCAACCTGCTGTGGAGTAATGACTTTCATAATGGCTTATAATATTTTGAACAAAGAAAATCACTTAAGTGATTAAATAAAAGTTACAAAAATTAGTCCTAAGGTGATTTGCAACTCTCTCTTCACACACAGAAGATATTGGTACAATGTTCTAAATGTTCCTTCTTCAGGCATCTATCTTACACACAAATGTGATCATATTCTATCTATTTTGCATCCTGCTTTACTTCACTTAATATTCAATTATAATATTTTTCAATGACTTTGTAAAATATAATAATAAATTTAAATGGCTGAATAATATATAAAATCCTTTCAAATTATACTTAACAATTTCACATCTAACTGATATCATTGAATTGTTGGTATAGTAATTTTACTGTTGATATTTAACTTGATCATGTTGTGGCCTCTTAAAATAAACACACTGATATATGGAGATTTGGAGGATTTTTTTAAGTACTAAAAAAGGAAAATTTATATAATAGAGGAGAAGCTACACACTCATGGTACACTTATAGCCCATTTTCTGATAAAGTAGGAGTTTTTATGTAACATTGGGATGGACTTATTGACATAGGTAAGCTACAGTCACAAGTTATTCAATCAAATACTAATTTAGGTGTTACTGTGATGGTAATTTATAGACTTAAATAAAGTCAATACTCAGTTGACTTTATGAGACATTATCCTAGATAATTTAGCAGAGCCTCATTTCACCAGTTGGAAAGCCTTAAAAGCAATACTGAAGCTTCTCTGAGGCAGAAGAAATTTAACTTGTGGCCAGAAGCTGCAGCCCATAACCAAGAGTTCCAACCGGCCTTATGGATTTTAGACTAGCCTGATCAGTCCTCACAATCATATAAACCAATTTCTTGAAAAAAATAACCTTACAATATATCTCCTACTGGTCTGTTTCTCTGGATAAATGGTGATGGATACAGACATTGCTTTCCTGACATTGTTCTAGAGCAACATAATCATATGGATGAGTTTTCTGAATTGTTTCTGGGGTTTGAGAATTTGGTTCCCTCATGTGATTTTACATATATATACACACACACACACACACACACACACACACACACACAGACACATACACATACACACACATACACTATACACACATACATACACATATATATACTTTTTGGTTTTTTTGAGACAGAGTCTTGCTCTGTCACCCAGGCTGGGGTGCAGTGGTGCGATCTCGGCTCACTGCAAGCTCCGCCTCCCAGGTTCACGCCATTCTCCTGACTCAGCCTTCCCAGTAGCTGGGACTACAGGCGCCGCCACCACGCCCAGCTAATTTTTGTATTTTTAGTAGAGACAGGGTTTCACCGTGTTAGCCAGGATGGTCTTGATCTCCTGACCTCGTGATCCGCCTGCCTCAGCCTCCCAAAGTGCTGGGATTACAGGCATGAGCCATGGCACCTGGCCCTCATGTGATTATATTTAAAAGCACTAATGACTATTTCCAGTGATAAAGAGAACACCAGAAATCCATGGCATAATATGACAAAAGAGATATGGAAAATATAACTATTGAATACTTGTGATCAAATACCTGTAGAAGTTGAAGTTATAGGTCACCATTTATTTGCTACCCTAGAATATTTTTATCAAACTTTAAGAGTATAGTGGAGCTGGTCAGTTGCTCCTAGCTGTTCCAGAAATAAAAGAAGAAGTGCGAGACTTCAAATTCCAGCTCAAGTTCCACCTAAATAATGTAATAGTCTCTTTTTTATGCCTTAAAAGTCACCCTTATCTTTTCTACCTACAGGTCTGAGATTTCTGAAAATTAAACCCCGAATCTCCCTGTGATTGACTGAATTACAAAACAAATTGAATTTCTAACCTCACAATGTGTTTTCTGTTAAAATGATTGGGAAGGAATGGGATCCTGAAAATTGGAATGAGGGCATATTGACACACCCCAGTGAAGCTGGGGACATTGAACCCTTGAATTTGGGCAATTTTCTTGCTAGGAGAAGCAGCCATCCACTCCTGTCTAAGGAGGTTATCTGTTCTTCCTAAAGAATCCGTAATTGCCCTGCAAGGTACTGCTGATTTTTCTTAGGACCTATCTCTACCACCCTTCTCTGCATCTAGACCTGCAAATAGACTTAAGTCTCAGCTGAGCCCAAACTGTAAGGTACAGTAAAAGAACTGCAAGAACAACAGAATGATTTTTCCAATTGATACACACAGAAATCTGGGGAAATAGGTGAGGGAATGGGTCTTAAGAGTGTGGCATTATGGTGGAAGGAATATAAAGTTGGATTAATCTGATGTATTACTATGGCTCACCAAGATTAGTGGTCTAGGAAGGGCTCTAACAGTGTGTTTTGTCCATAGGTTGAAACATGAAACTAAAGGTGGCCTACAATAAATGAAGTTGAAATGTCAGAATTGCCTTGGTATACTATGGAGGAATGCATCTAAAGTCTTAGGGAGGTCGAAATGTTTGAATAGATTTATCATGTAAGAACTGCTTATCCAATTGGAGAGTCCAGAAGACATACCTTTTACCACAATTGTGAGACATAAATTTATAAGGGGAGTCCTAGCATCCTTGAGACCTCTGTCTTTATTCTTTTCTGTAAGTCAGAAATTACAGTGGAAACTGCCGCTATTTAACTGGGATCATCAAAAACCAGGTAGTCACCGCAATAAACTGCAGAGTCAAAGCAGTAACCAGAATATTGTAACTCACAAAGACGTATGGCATTAGCTAGTTGATAATTATGTCACTAGAAAAGAATTAGATGGACAGTCTAATGAATGATGTGTATAGGTGGAAAAGTTCCAGGTCTAGTAAGCAGAAGTCTAATTCAAATCACCAAAACAGAGAGACATAGCACCTCAGTCAATTTCCAGGCTTAGACAATTTACCATCCCAGCACCCCTTAAATGAAAGGGAGGCTAAGTCCTTTTGAGGTCCAGTGCACTGCCAAAAAATGTGTTTATACTATTAATCTTTTTTCTGGTCTTTCCTAAAGAGATCTAGTTATTTTACCAGTGAGCTTGTGCTTTGGAAAACAGAAATAATTAGACCTTTGGAAGATTACTGAACACTGACTAAAATGACACTAATTTCTGGACACCCAAAATGTCACTGTGGAGGCATAAGAGAGGCTTATGAAGGTCAGGTGATTAATTGATCAATGGAATTTTAGTTCGTAGCTGTCTCACAGTGGGTTCAGCATGTGCCTGAACAAGTCCTGTGATTATTTATCCAGTTCCAGAAGCATTATTGGAATAGACACATTCAGAATGCAACAGAATCTCTACATTGGTTTCCTGACTTGTGAAATAAGGGCTATTATAGAAATTAATATATAATAATCATTTAAGAAAATTAATTGAAAGTCATTATAACTGCCTCTACCTAGGAAAATAGTAAGCTAAAAGTAATGCTGCAAATCTGGAGGACATAAAACATGTGAGCATAGTGACATCCCACCACAACCACATTCAATTTATCTGTTTGGCCTGTGCACAAAACAGATGGATCTTGGAGAATGACAGTGGATTATTGTCAGCTTAATCAGGTGGTGATTCCAATTAGAGCTGCTGTTCCAGAGGTGGTTTCATTGCTTGGACAAATTAACACATCCTCAGGTATTTGGTATACAGCTCTTCACCTGAAAAAATGATCTTTTTGCTATATATGTTAGTAAACATCATTAGAAGCAGTTTTATCTCAGTTGGAAAAGCCAGCAATACACCTTTACTGTTCTACTTACAGGATGTGTCCATTATTCAGACTTATATCATCATTTAGTCCACTGGGACCTTGATTGATTTTCCTTTCTGCAGAAAATCAGTCCGTTCCATTGCATTGATGACATTATGCTGATTGGACCTGGTAACCAGAAAGTAGCAACTGTTCTGGACACTTGTGTTTCAGAGGGTGGGAAATATAGTTCACAAAATTTGAGAGGCCTTCCATATCAACTAAGTTCCCAGGGTCTAATGGTGACAGGAAGGTCAAAGTATTCCTTCCCAGGTGAAAAATAAGATTTTGTATCTCGTTGGTCCTCCTATAGCCAAAAAAGAAGCACAATGAATAGAGGGCCTCTTTAGATTTTCAAGGCAGCACATTGTTCTTTTTGTGTGTACTGCTCCAGCCCATTTACTGAAGGACCTGAAAAGCTGCTAGTTTTGAGTAGAAGCAAGATCAAGAAAGAGCTCTGCATCAGGTTTAGCCTGCTGTGCAAGCTGCTCTGACATTTGGGCCATGTGTCACCAACAAGCCATGATCCGGAAGATCTGATGACATTTAAAATATCAATGTCAGAGAGGGATGCTTTTTGGAGTCTTTGGCAGCCTCTTATAAGTGAATCATAACACAGACTCAGGATTTTAGAGTAAAATTCTACTATTTTCTGCAGATATATAAAGTAAGTCCTCACTTGACCTAATCTACAGGTTCTCAAAAACTGCAACTTCAAGCAATATGCATATTTCTGGTAACAGAAACATCACCCAACTTTTAAATAAAGATGAAAACACCTCTAATATTAAAAATTTAAATAAATGTGGGCTACACACATATTTAAGAAAGATTAATGAAAACAAGTGAGATAACTGTTTACCCAATTATTCCAGTTCAGGGTCACAAGTGGCTGGAGCCTATCTCAGCAGCTCAGGGTGCATCCCGGGCAGGACCCCATCCATCACAGGGTGCACTCATGCACACCCACACTCACTCCAATGGGGATGCTTTAAACACTCCAGTGCACCTAACATGCACAACTTTGGGATGTGGGAGAAGACAGGAGTCCCTGAAGAAAACCCACATAGACACGGGGAGAATGTGCAAACTCCACACAGTCGGTGGCCTGAAAGGGAATCGATTTTTTTTTTCTTATCAACATTATAACAAAATGACATTATTTGAGGAGAGGTGTATTCTATTTTTAAGAAACAGTTTTTGGCTTTGTCCCAGGTCTTAATAGGGACCGAAAATATTATAATGGACTACCAAGTTATAATGTGATCTGAGCTGTCCATCAGGAACTGGGTGCTGTCTAATCTACTAAGCCTGGAAGTTAGGCATGCACAGCAGCACCGTGCCAGTCAATGGAAGTGGTATATGTGAGGCTTGAGGAGGCTTTCAGGGCAATAGTAAGTTACATAAGGAAGTGACTCAAATGCCCACGGCCCTACTCCTGCTACATTATCAGCCCACACCAATGACCTCATTGGGAGTTTTTATCAGTTAACTGAGAAAGTGAAAACTCAGACCTGGTTTACAGATAGTTCTGCACAACATGCAGCACCAGCCAAAAGCAGAAAACTCCATCACTCTAGCTCTTTTCTGGGACATTTTTGAAGGACAGTGGTGAGGAAAAGTTCTTTCAGTGGGCACAACTTAGAGCAGTTCACCTCATTGTTCACTTTCCTTTGAAGGAGAAATGGTCAGATATATGACTCTGTATTATTCAGTGGGGTGAGGCTGATGGTTAGGAACTTGGAAGAAACATAGTTGGAAAGATTGGTGACAAAGAAGTCTTGGAAAGAGGTGTGTATATAGATCTCGCAGAATGAATAAAGCGGGTGACCATGTTGGCATCTCTTATGAATCTTCAACAAAGGATTACATCAACAGATAATGATTTTAATAATCAAGCATATACGAAAGAATGTGTGGATACCAGTCATCTCTTTCTTCAGACACTCCAGCCACTAACTGATGAGCTCTGAACGAATTGGCTATGATGTCAGGAATGGAGATGATTCATGGGCTCAGAAACACGGAATTATACTCACTGGGGCTTTCCTGACCTAAGTCTATACTCTGCCAGCAGCAAAGACCAACACTGAGTCCTCATAATAGAACCACGCCCCAAGATAACAGCCAACTACCTGATGGTTGCTTGATTACAGAGAACTGCTCCCATGATAGAAGATACATTGTTCTTACTAGAACAGACACTTCTTCTGAACATGGACTCTCTTTCCTCGCACACAATATTTCTGCCAAAATGAGCACCTGTCCACTTAAAGAATATCTTATCCACCATCACAGTATTATACACAGCTCTGGTCAAGGAACTTACTTTGTAGTGATTAAATGTGGCAATGATCTCATGCTCATGGAATCCACTAGCCTACCATCCAAATTGTCTTGAAGCAGCTGACTTTCTAGAATGTTGGATGGTCTTTTGAAGACTCAGTTACACTTTCAGCCAAATGGAAATGTCTAGAAGGAGTCAGGAGAGGGGCAATTTCCTCTAGGATGTGTTAATGCTCTACATCACCATCCATTACATGGTGCTGCTTTCTCTATGGGCAGGGTTTATTTGACCAGGAATTAAGGAGTGGAAATGGGAGTAACTCTATGCACTATTACCCTTAATGATCTATCAGATATATTTTTGCATTATGTCTCCTCAGCTGTAGCCTATGATGGTGTAGAGGTCTTTGTTCCAAAAGGAGAAATACTTCCACCAGGAGGCAGAACAATGATTATAGCAAAATGGATGTTGAGGCTACTACCTGCCCACTTTGGGTTCCTTGTCCTTCTTAATCAATATGCAAAGAGGAAGTTAATCTATTGTCTGGGATAATAGATCCTGATTATTAAGGGGACACTGGGTCGCTACTACACACGACTGGAAAGATTTTTTAAATGTAAGAGATTATTTGTGATGTCTCCCACATCCTATAACTAAAACCTGTATTAGTCCATTCTCATGTTGCTAATAAACACATATCCAAGTCTGAGTAATTTATAAAGGAAAGAAGTTTAATTGACTCACAGTTCAGCATGACTGGGGAGGCCTCAGGAAACTTGCCATTATGGCAGAAGCAGAAGCAAACACATCCTTCTTTACATTGTGGCAGCAAGAAGAACTGCAGAGCAAAGTTAGAGAAAAGCCCCTTATAAAACCATCAGATCTCGTGAGAACTCACTCACTATTATGAGAACAGCACGGAGGTAACCGCCCCCATGATCTACTTACCTCCCACCAGGTCCCTCCTGTGACACATGAGGATTAGGGGAACTACTATTCAAGATGAGATTTGGCTGGCAACGTAGCCAAACCATATCATTCCACCCTGGCCCCTCCCAAAACTCAGGTCCTCAAAATTCAAAACATAATCATTTCCTTCCAACAGTCACCCAAGATATTAACTCACTCTAGCATTAACTCAAAAGTCCAAGTCCAAAGTGACATCTGAGACAAGACAAGTCCCTTGTCTTACTAGGGGCCTGTAAAATCAAAAGCAAGTTAGCTATATGGGGACAGACACTGGGTAAATACACCCATTCCAAATGGGAGAAACTAACCAAAACAAAGGGGGTTCAGGACCTATGCAAGTCTGAAATTCAACGGGGCAGTCATTAAACAGCAAAGTTCCAAAATGATCTCCTTTGACTCCCTGACTCACATCCAGGTTAGACTGATGCGAGAGATGGGCTCCCACAACCTTGGGCAGCTCTGCCCCTGTGGCTTTGCAGGGTACAGCTCCACTCTTGGGTTTTTTCATGGCTGGCGTTGAGTGTCTGTGGCTTTTCCAGGTGCACAGTGTAAGCTGTCGGTGGATCTACCATTCTGGGTTCTGGACAATGGTGACCCTCTTCTCACAGGCACACTAGGCAGTGCCCAAGTGGGGACTCTGTGTGGGGGCTCTCACTTCACATTTCCCTTCTCCACTGACCTGGCAGAGGTTCTCCACGAGGACTCCACCCCTGCACCAAACTTCTCCCTGGACATCCAGACATTTCCATACATCCTCTGAAATCTAAGCAAAAGTTCCCAAACCTCAATTCTTGTCTTATGTGCCTCTGCAGGGCCAATACCAACACCAAGACCCAACCCAAGAGTTGGGTCTTGCACCCTCTGAAGCAATGACCTGAGCTGTAACTTGGCCTCTTTTTGTCACCACTGGAGCAGCTGGGACACAGGGCTCCGGAAACTTACAATCATGGCAGAAGGGAAAGCAAACACATCTTTTTTCACATGGCAGCAGCAAGGAGAAGTGCAGAGCAAAGTGGAGGAAAATTCCCTTATAAAACCATCAGATTGGGGCCGGGTGTGGTGGCTCATGCCTGTAATCCCAGCACTTTGGTAGGCCGAGGAGGGCGGATCATGAGGTGAGGAGATCGAGACCATCCTGGCTAATATGGTGAAATCCCGTCTCTACTAAAAATACAAAAAATTAGCCAGGTGTGGTGGCAGGCGCCTGTAGTCTCAGCTTCTCAGGAGGCTGAGACAGGAGAATGGCGTGAACCTGGGAGGCGGAGCTTGCAGGGAGCCGAGATTGTGCCACTGCACTCTAGCCTGGGCAACAGAGTGAGACTCTGCCTCAAAAACAAACAAACAAACAAACAAACAAACAAACAAACAACCATCAGGTTTTGTGAGAACTCACTCACTATCACAAGAATAACATAGAGGTAACCACCTCCATGATTCAATTACCTCCCACCAGGCACCTTCAATGAAATGTGAGGATTATGGAAACTACAGCACAAGATGAGATTTGGGTAGGAACACAGCCAAACCATATCAAATCAATGGATACCCACAACCCAATCCAGGCAGAACTGCTAGTGGCCCAATGCTTCAGGCATGAAAGTTTGGTTCAATTCACCAGGCAAAGAACCATGACTAGTTGCGCTGCTTGCTGAGGGCAAATGGAATATCAAAAGAGTAGATGAAGAAAGTAGTTATAAATACCAGTTACAAGAGCATGACCAGTTACAGAAACAAGGATTGTAAGAGTTACAGGTATTCCTTCCTTATTTTATTTTGAATATGTTTGCATATTTATATTAACCATTTTTTTAAAGTTTCTTCCCTGTCTTATTCCCTTAAATGGTAGTTAACTTTATTTTGCAGTAAGTTACAGGATATCAAAGGAGAAGAGTGAACAAAATCCAAGGATTTGTAAAAAAAAAAAAAAAAAGCAGACTGGGCACAGCGGCTCACACCTGTAATTCCAGCACTTTGGGAGGCCCACGCGGGCGGATCACCTGATGTCAGGAGTTTGAGACCAGCCTGGCCAACATGGTAAAACCCCGTCTCTACTAAAAATAAAAAAATTACCTGGGTGTAGTGGCAGGCACCTGTAATATCAGCTACTCAGGAGGCTAAGGCAGGAGAATCACTTGAACCTGGGAAGAGGAGGTTACAGTGAGCCAAGATTATGCCATTGCACTGTAGCCTGGGTGACAAGAGTGACACTTCATTTCAAAAAATAAAATAAAATAAAATAAAATAAAAACAAAACCAAAACAGAACAGTTGCACTAATTTAGGTGGATCCATGACTTTGTTACTCACTTTATTTAGAGTTTGACTTTAGGAATGTGTATAGGTGCCAGATTGACAGGTGGGCTATGATGGTGATTTACTGTGTCAACCCGGCCAGGGCTCATCCTCTAGTTATTCAAATACTAATCTAGATGTTGCTATGAAGCTATTTTGTAGATGTTATTAAATCCTGAAATCAGTCGACTTTTAGCAAAGGGGATTTTTCTAGATAATCTGGTGGGTACTGATTTAATTAGTTGAAAGACTTTAAAAGCAGAGCTGAGGTATTCCTGAGAATAAACTTATGCTTGTGGACAACCACTTCCACTTCTGCCCAGTAGTCCCATTCTTCCCTTACTGATGACTCACCCTATGGATTTTGGAACTTTCTAGGCATCCCCCGTAAGCTAATTTCTTGTCACAAATTTCTCAGTATATATCTCCTAATGGTTCTGCTTTTCTGGTGAACTAGACTGTATTAGTCCATTTTCACACTGCTGATAAAGATATACCTGAGACTGGGAAATTCACAAAAGAAAGAGGTTTAATAGACTTAGAGTTCCATGTGGCTAGGGATGCATCACAACCATGGTGGAAGGTGAAAGGCTCTTCTTACATGGCAACAGCAAGAGAGATAACATGTGCAGGGAAACTCTCATTTTAAAACCATCGGATCTCATGAGACTCATTCACTATCATGAGCACAGTGCAAGAAAGACCTGCCCCCATAATTCAATCACGTCCCACTGAGTTCCTCCCACGACACGTGGAAATTGTGGGAGTTAAATTTAAGATGAGATTTGGATGGGGACACAGCCAAACCCTATTATAGACTAGTGTAGACAGATATCACCTGTCTGAGACTACTGAACTTGAAATGGTGATGAGAAAAACTCAAAAAAGGAGAAAAGATTTACTAACAACATATTCCTCTTTAAATGTTTGGTAGAATTCACCATTGAAGCCATCTGGTCTTGAGCTTTTTTTGTTGGGAGACGTTTGATTACAGAAAAAATATCCTTATTCATTATTGATCTGTTCAGATTCTCTATTTATTCATGGTTCAGTCTTAGTAGCTTGCATATTTCTAGAAATGTATGCATTTACTCTAGGTTGTCCAATTCATTTGTATTTGATTGCTCATAATAGTCTGTTATGATCATTTGTATTTCTATAGTATCATTTGCATTCTCTTTTATTTATAATTTTTCTTGAGTCTTCTTTTTTTCTTAGCCCAGCTAAGGATTTGTCAACTTTGTTTGTCTCCTCAAAAAACCAACCCTTCAGTCTTATTGATCTTTTCTATTGTTTTTCTGGAAATGCAAACCCAAACCACAATGAAATATCACCTCACACCTGTTAGAATAGCTATTACTAGTAAAAAAGAAACAACAACAAAAAAATAACCAGTGTTGGAGAGAATGTGAAGACAAGGGAATGCTTGTATATTGTTGATGGGAATGGAAATTGGAGCAGCAATTATGGAAAACAGTATGGAGTTTCCTCAGCAAATTAAAAATAGAACTACTATACAATCCAGCAGCCCCTCTTCTGGGCATGTATCCAAATAAATGGAAATTAGGACCTTGAAAAGACATCTGCAAGCCCCTGCCCATTGCAACATTATTCACAATAGCCAAGATACAGCAACAACTTGAATGTTCATAGATAGATTAATGGATAAAGAAACTGTGGTATATACATACAATGAAATATTACCCTGCCTTTAAGAAAAGAAAATCCTGTCATTTGAAACAACATGGATGGACTTGGAGGGTATTCTGTTAAATGAAGTCATCCAGACACAAAATAAACAGATACTCTACAATTTCACTTATGTGTGGAATCTAAAACAAACTCATAGAAGGATAGAGTAGAATGGGAATTGCCAGGGTATAGGAAAACAGGAGAATTGGGGAGGTGATAGTTAAAGGGTACAAAGTTCCAGCTATGTAAAATAAGTAATTTCTGGAAATCTGCTATATGGTATAGTGCCTATAGCTAGCAAAACTCCATTTTATACTTAAAATTTGTTGAGAGGGAAAGATCTACCTTATGTTGATTGTTCGTATCAACGAGTGACGACAACAACAACAAAACCTCCAATAATGATAATAAAGGAGCTGGGAGGAAACTTTGGGAGGTGACAGATGTTCTATGGCCTTGGTAGTGGTGATGATTTCATGGGTTTATACTTATCTCGAAAGTCACTGAGAGATTGTATATAAAATAAGTACAGTTTTTAAATGTGTCAATCATACCTGAACAAAGTGGTTAAAGACAAAAACAGTATATTCTTCATAAGCAGTTCCACTTAGTGTGGTTTTTTTTTTTTTTCTAATATGAGAGCAATTCTCCAGAAACTTCAGCTGTGGGAAAATAAGAAAATCCCTGCCAAAGATTTGGCCCATTGCCTTACAAATTACTGAATATATGGGTTATTAAATTTGTATCCTACAAAACCATTTCTAAGATAACTTGGCCTGCCCAGCATAGAGTTAAGCTTAGAATAATATTCTAGCTAGCAAATTTCAGGAAGGATTTGATTTTATTTGGTCAATTATGGAGAACAACCAGCTGTATTAGGATTTCATTAAAGTCCTCTGAATTTCATGAGATTTCCATAGTTAGAAATGAATTTTTAAAGTCTTACTGAGGTTTTTAAAAAAATGATACTTTATTCTGGTGGTTTATCTGTTGTTGACCTTAAAGTGACCATAATATACTTTTTAATATTTTCTTCAAAATAATAATGATAAACACAATACAGTATTTTTAACTACAGGCACTTAGCTGTAGAGTTGATCTCTAGAATTCATTCATGTAGCATAATTGAAACTTTGTAACCATTGAACAACTCCTCACCTCTCTCTTAATTTGCCTCTGACAACCACTGCTGTATTCTCTGCTTCTATGAGTTTGACCGTTATAGATACCTCATGTAAGTGTAATCATAAACCATTTATCCTTCTGTGAATGGCTTCTTTCTCTTAGCATAATGTCCTTCAGGTTTATCCATGTTGTCTCAAATGGCAGGATTTCCTTCTTTTTAAGGATGAATAATTCCATTGTATACTACACTTTCTTTATGCATTTATATGTCAATGGAAACAGGTTGTTTCCATATCGTGGCTATCGTGACTAATTTTACAACGAACTCGGGAGTGAAGATGTCTTTTTGAGATCCTGATTTCAATCCCTTTGAATATATACCCAGAGGTGGTATTGCTGGATCATATGTTAAGAAGGTAGATTTCCATGTTAAGTGTTCTTCCCAAGAAAACAAAACAAAACAAAAACAAAGGGACACACAAAAAACTTGGAGAAGTTGCATACGTCTATTACCCTGAGTGGGGATGGTTGTATGGGTGTTTGCCTATGTACAAATTCATCAAATTATACACGTTGAATATGTGCAGTTCTTTGTATATCAATTATATCTCAATAAAGCTGTTAAAATATATATAATAAAATAACAAAATAATGATGAAGCCAACACCTGTTAAGAATTTATAATATGCAAGGCATTCTGAGACTCTCATCACAAGGATTACCTCATTTAATACGTGGTCCTCTGAAGTAGTTGCTATCATTATTCCAGTTTACAGATGAAGAAATGCAGGCACAGAGAAGGAAAATATTTGGCCATGGGTCACATAGCTAACGGACTTAGTTCTGTATAACTGTAGAACTCATACTGTTAGCAACTGTGGTTGTCTGTAATTAATTTAAAGATAGAATAAATTAATTCTGGTATTTTCATTTCATAGTGGTTAATGTCCTAATGATTAATTTTTAAGTGTATAAATTAAATGTATTATTTTCTTCAAAAGCAAATAAAACAAAGCGAGCATTTTTTCTTGCTATGACTCCAATTTTTTCTCCTCTACAAAATTGATAAACAACAATACAATGTTCTCATTCCTGATTTATAACATAATGCAAAATGTATTGTTTTCAAATTTCTAAGAGAAGAATAAAGTTATTTTTACAATTAAATATTTTAGTAGAAGAAGACTGGTATTCAGGTGTTCTAAACTAATAATTGGCATTTCCTTATTTTCCTTCTCTCCTTCATCTTTCCTTACCTTTGCCTCTTATTAGTCCACCTTTTACATGCACGTTTGGGTGCTTCTTTCTCAGGCTTATAATCGCATAAAGCTTTCTGTAATTCAATATTACTCTAAATAGTCATCCTCATTTGAGTGAGACTGGCAAACAGGTGAGAAGAACAGCATTAGTCATTATTTCCATCTTCTTGACCATTCTTCTTCTCCAAGCATCTCTTGCTTACCTTTTTTAAGAAAGAAATTATGGATATAAGTGCACTTTAATATGTTTACCTAACTGGAGGTTTATGCCATAGCAGCATGGCTCAGTGTCTCTTCAGGAGGTATATTCCCTGTTCCTTCCTTCTTTATCTCCTCCCCTTCCTTTCATCCCTGTGCTTGTATTTGTATGCAACTCTTCCTCTCTCTGACCCCTTCTTGTTTAACGTTCATTCTTCTCTTCCATTCAAGAAAGGAAATGTAGAATGGGAACATAAAGTGGCATTGGAGCAAGACTAGAAGTGCTATGTTTCTCCAGGGAGATCATGCGGCCAATCGAAATACTTTAGTGCTGGTGCTTCTTTATTAGCCCAGGGAAGTATAAGGGTATTTCAACCTGCTCTTTGTAATAACTCCGGGGAATAGTAAACAGGGAAGATCAGGGAGAAGAGCCGCCATGTTTGATACGGTAAAGCATGCAACGGGATCCGTAAAATTTGCCATCTCAGTTTGGAATGTAAGCCAAATCTGGCAATTGGAGATGGCACCCTACCCCTCCGATTCGTAAG